CCCTAAACCCTAAACCCTAAACCCTAAACCCTAAACCCAGCCTTATGCCCAGAAAAAATCCCTAAGCCCTAAACCCTTAAGAACCCTAAACACTAAAAACCCCTCAGCCCTCAACCCTTAAAAAACCCTAAGCCCTAAACCCTGAAAACCCTAAACCCTAAACCCTGAAAACCCTAAACCCTAAGCCGTACAAACCTCGGAACCCGATAAGCCCTACACCCTAAGAACCCCTTGCCCTAAACCCTAAAAAACCCTCAACTTCAAACCCCGAAAACCCTAAGCCCTAAAAAACCCTAAGCACAGGCATGTTTTTTCAAGCCCATCATGCGAGCATTCTGTGTGCAAATGGGGGGGGGGGGGTTACGGTCCCCCCCAACCCCCCCGCTTAATTCTTTTTCGAACCCATCATGCGAGTGGTGTTTGCAAATGGGAAGGGGGGGGGGGGTAAAAATCCCTAAACCCTAAACCCCCCAAAAAAACCCAAACCCTAAGAATCTTTAAGTCCTAAAAACCTAAACAGAGGCATGTTTTTTCAAGCCCATCATGCGAGCAGTGTGTGTGTCAAATGGGGGGGGGGCTGCGCCCCCCCCAACCCCCCCGCTTAATTCTTTTTCGAACCCATCATGCGGGGAGGAATCCCTATACCCTAAACCCCAAAAAACCCTAAACCCTAAAAATCTGTAAGCCCTAAAAACCCCCTAGAACCCAAAAAACCCGAAACCCTCCCTAATCCCGAAACCCGAAAACCCCTAAAGCCTAAAAAGCTCTGAGGCCTGAACAAGAAATCCTAAACCCTAAAAACCCCTAAACTCTGAACCCCCCCAAAAACCTACAAAACCCTACACCCTAAACTCTCGCTCGAGCACAAGTGATACATTTGTTACCATAGGGGTCTATGGGTTTGTGGATAGGGTCTATCCGGAGGGGGGTAGGGGCCTATCAAAAATGGACAGGGGTCTATGCCGCATAGGGGGGTGGTATAGGTAGGGATAGGGTCTATGCATAGGGGTCTATTGGAAAAGGCATAGGGCCTATGCATAGGTGTCTATGCATAAACGGACAGGTCCTATGTATAGGGTCCCACCACGGACGGGGAAGGCTCAGGGAATAGGACCCTATCCCAAAACCATAGGGGTCTCTATAGGGTCTATCGACGTCTATGATAGGGGGCTACTTTTTAGACCTATCTTCGCCGCAGCCCCTCAGCCCCAGCCCCTCAGCACCCCAAAACCATCCCCCCCCCACCACACCCGACAAAATCCAAACCATTACAACAAAAAACAAAACCCCCCAAAACTCGACAAAACTCCGGACACAAACCCTATACAATTTCCATTAAACCCCAAAACCCTAAACTCCTTAAACCCTGAACCCGGGGTCCCGAAAATTTCCGGAATTTTCAAAAGGCTCCCATATACCTTAAATCCAACCCAGAAAGCCTAAACCTCAATTCGGGTGATTCCGAAAATTGCTAGAATTTTCAGATCCGGGTGATTCCCAAAATTCCTAGGATTTTTAGATAATAAACGTAAAAATTCCGGGAATTTTCCGGATCCCCCTGCAAGGTCCTCACAAGCAACCAAATTGACCGGAAGAGGAGGTGGGACAACCAGCAAGGCGACCGCAGAGCGAAAATATAGGTCGAACCCGTGGCCTTTTATAGGGATATAAACAATGATAAAAAAAAAGAAAATAATACGAGAAATGAATTCTTTTTTCGATATATAGAATTTTAATAAAAACAAAGAATAATAAGAATTATTGATAAGAAAACAAAATGAATCTAATATAATTTCTAAATATTTTAGAATTCCAATGCACCAAAAAATACGTATACAAAGGCCTCATAATAATTTATTATATTCATTATATTATTTCGATTTTCATTCATCATATTATTCTCCATAAAGCCTTATAATATAATTCTCTTCATAATATATTTAATATTATCCCGCACATTTCTAATATAATAAATGTATGTATTATCATAGTTCTTTAATTAATTTGATATGATATTATGGGCGTATTTAATCTTTATCATTCGTCCATTTATTCATAAATCATATGCATTCATATTAATATGTTCCATAAATATAATATAAATAATGAAAAAATATAAACCCACGAATGAAAAATATAATTTAATATTTCAAATGCGTCTATAAAAAGAACGAATTTCACGTATGAGAATCACATAAGAAAATTAATTCGCCTAAGAATTTTCGATTAGAAAAGGAAAAGGCATCCAATAGAATTGCCGCAAAACGATAAACGCGCCCGAGCCCGTAGCCTTCCTTACATGAAGATAATCTATTTCGAAATATTTGTTCCAGAATATTAGTCATCATATATTTATTTCATTATATTGATATATTTTTGATTGAGATATTGATAGAGATCTTCAAGGTTTTTAAATTATCAAATTTAATATTCAATTATTCAAACATAGCCGATCAATTCGAATATAATGGTTAAAGAAGTAACATTGTATATGATATGTGTTCAAGATACAACAATACCAACAATGCAAATGATGACGCGATACGTGGAGTCATATCAGAATGTTCCGACTAAGCATATTGGGGTCGTGCGTTCTGCAAATCGGCGTTGTGACACCAGTTGGCATCTGACACATACGAACCATTCAATGTCGAGACACTAGCGTTGCTAGACCTAGCGGCTCAGCGTGCCCGCTGCTGAAAAACACGTTCGCATTTCACGCCGAAGCATGCTCTTTTCTGCAAAGAGCAGTGGCATCAGCATATGATTCTGCAGCGAGGACCATGTGGCGAACACGGGTCGACCGACCTCGGCAACCGGCAGAGATCCACAGATGGCCTGTAGTAATCCTGCACCTTGGCTTCGGACTTGCGTGGATTCCTGTCTCCAAAAGGATTTGCACACATGGTATGCTGACTGCTGCGATCGGGCCTTCGACGTTCATTCCCTGACCTGCCGTTGCGCCGCAATTGGAGCTGCCAAAGGGAAACATGTATATGCACATTATTAGTATATATATATATATGCACATGCACGAATTTTGATTAGAAATATATGCGACATGCATACATTTATGTACGCATCATGAGCATCAGGGACTCGGGTCGGCGACCGAAAAGGAGGTGTCGAAGGAGACACGGGCCACCGTCGATGGGGCGCCGAAGGCCGGCAGTGCTCTGCCAGCCGGGCGCAGCCCCCAGGGCCACTGCCCTGTGTAGGTCAGGCAGCTTCGCAAGCTTGGCTTCAGCCTATGCGGACCCGAGTGCCACTGACCCGAGCTGGCTCAGAACATGTTTGGGTCACCGAAAGCGCCAAAGCTGCGAGCATCATGAGCATCAGCTGCTCAGGTCCTACCCCAGCCCCTGATAAAATGCTGCGGGGATGCTCCACCTCTCCCGACCCCCCTGCTCTTCGCATGTTTCCCACGGATGCATGTGAGTTGAGCAAGCAAACAACAACTCCCCGCCTTACTTCTCGTGAACCCTTAATTCGTTTCGGTAACCTTGATGACCTTGCCGAGGCGGCTTCGCGCTAGTGGTTAAATTACAACCGTCAAAGAGCCACTGGACCCCTGCTGGCCAGCCCAAGATGTAATGTGCTCTCTCCGATTGTGCAGTATGAGCTTACGCAGCCGGATCCAAAGCGTGACACGCACCGTCGTTGGACACCACTCCAGCTGTGCACAATGCCTACAAAGTCACCTTGGCTAGCCGTGGCGCTCAGCCTCCGCAAAGGCTGGCCGAGCGTGGCCGTGGTTTGTTTCAAGAGCTTCTGACCGCTGTGCTCGCAAAGTCTTGGGTGCGCAGTCCCGCCATCGAGCTACATGGAGAATAAGAAGGCCGAGGTTCCGCGGATGATTCTTTATCACGGCATGGGGAGCCTGGACAAACACCGCAGAACGAGCATCATACGCATCATGAGCATCAGGAACATCATGAGCATCACGGCTAACAACAAGAGCAGTAATTAGTGGCCACATGTAGACGTTCATCAGAGCATCACGGGCACGCTTAGCCTCCAGGCTGCTGGGTGGGCCCAGTCTAGACAACAGTCACATGTGATCCGTGGCCTTCGCTTCAAGGCCTTCCAGTGGCCGCGAGGATCTGAGTGCTTCCCCCTGGGCAGGATGCAGGCGCTGTTCATCTGAAAGCCTCGGTCTGTTTGCTCTCTGCGTCCTAACATGTCCTACAGCTAGAAACAGCCACCACAGTGAAATCTATGGAGCACCAGATACCCACATCCCTGGGCACATCCGCACTCAGACTGGGATGTCGACCGTTCAGCATGGCACCCAGGCAGGTGGCATCACAGCCAACAAAACGCAGCGCCAGCCTTGGAGCAAGTTTATGTGCATTGCGACCGTGTCTGCACTCAGCACAATGTTGTCTCCGCGCGATCGGATTCTTGAGATCTGATCCCAGCTCGTCGCCGATCACTGTCGTTGCCGAGACTGCCATGAACTGTTAGGTCCTTGCTATGTCATTCTGTTCGGATCTGCATGTGGCATCTTCGGTCTGACCAGGCAAGTCCTGAACCGAAACCTCCTGTGGCTCCAGTGTTGCTGCTGCAGGTGCAGCTGCTGCTGCAGAAGCGAGCGCCCGAAGCATTTGCAGGTTCATACATGCTATTTATATTATAGAGTTCTACTATTTAATACTCAATATATAATACCGGTCATGTTATATTGCAGTAGTCATTTCCTTATCTTCATTGATATTGTACGTACAATATATTTGTATATATTCATACGCTTCCTTATATGCTTCATACATTAATATGAAAGCATATATACTGTATTGTTATATTGTATATTTAATACACAATAATGTCGACATACCTCCTTACCGCCGTATCTCAACTTCAGAAGCGCGCTTCTCAGCCCGGCACACAGTGCACTGACGCTTCTCCAGCGTGCAATCTTTGCGGAACCTTGCAGTACCCAGGGTGGCATCACATTGTGGGGCGTTCATGCAGCAAATGCTTCCAGCAAATGCTTCAAACATCATTGCAACGAGAAACTTGGAAAACCTCGCAGCAACTTGAGAGCCGGACCGGAGCACCCAGCAAGTCCACATCCGGAATCTCCTGAACAAGCACAGCACAGCGACAAGCACAGCCACGCAATGCCATGCGTGGCATGCTGCATGCCTCAATCCTGTTGCATCCTACTGCTGCGTCGGTTCTCCTGCGTCAACAGGTGGTGGGTTGTATTTGTTGCCTTCCACGGCAACCGCCCCAAGCCTCACTGGCTCTGAGAACTTCCCGTACAAGCACACCCCAGCTTCTCCCGCAGGGACGGAAGCCCAAAATGCAAAGGACATACATAGAGGTACATAGGTTCTTTGTCTGGTTTGGCCCAAACCAGCTCACACATGGGCCCTCTAAAGCACGCGGTCCGATATCCTGTGCGCGTGGTACGAGTAAGGTCTGCGCGATGGCTGCCTTCAATGAAGTGTACGGCCGCATTGGACTCGTCCACATCATCAAATGCCAGCCACAAGGTAACGGCACGTGACCTGGGCTGAAGTCTATGCCGCAATGCAAGCTGGGCCACCCCTGGACGCTGAGCGTCCCACTCCGAAAGCGGCCAGAAGCCCGCATCCTGCTGAATTAGATCTCGACTTTTGCTGCATCATCGATTGCAGGGGTTGGGGGCTGAGTTGGGCTCATGGGTCCATCCCTTTTGATTGCAGGCATTTGCAGGCCCACCTGAAGCGCATTTAGGGTTTGGAGCGCATTTAGGGTTTGGAGCTCAAAAGTATCTTAAAGTGTTTGGAAAACTCTGCATCACGATTTCCACAATCTCAGAGAGAGGGGCACTGTAATCCTGGAGGTCCGAAGCGAAAAACAGCAGACATAAACTCTCTAGGAAGGAACTGGCTGAGACAAGGAGCCCGCAAGGATCCTCAGGAATGGGAGCTTTAGCTTCAACTTTTAACTCGAATGTCTCCGAAACCTGTTTTCGCACTTCTTCACCTCACTTCACTGCGCTGAAGAACGCTGTCTGCGAGTTTCGGCCTAAACTATGCATGCTGCGGATAGGTCCCAAAATCAAACTGCCCATGTCGTTGCTGTCGCATCGGTCTTTGGAACGTTTGAGCTTTGTCGGTTCTTTCAGCTTTCCGGGCCTGATGCCACGGCTGGGAGGTCGGGTCACCCGGCAGTTTGCAGAAGAGGTGGGCACTCCAACAGCAGAATTGAGGCCTGGCAGAGTTCACAAGATCCACAAGTCTCCCCTTTCAAGGCCCCGAAATCTTTGGGAATGCATGGCAGCTCCACCCCAGGATGTCCTGGCATGCGTGCAAGCCAACGACAGCTGCATGTTCAGATCAGAATGACTCGTTTCAAAACACCTGGATGATGGCCAGAACCCTGGGGTTGTTCGCCATGCTCTGTACCACGGCCTGACAAGATCATAGCCGTTTAGGAAAGTGATCTCTTGGTCTCCAGGTCTTTGGGTCAGGGAAGATGAGGTCATTGGACCAAACGTACAAGGAAGTAGGCCATCAAGAAAACATACGCTCTGTGTAGCGGCACGCACTTCTGCCGTGGGACTGTGCGATGGTTTCGTGCTGTCTGGCCACCACGAACACCCACGACACAGTTTTAAGCTTAGCGGCTTAGCGCGAACACAAGCTCCAGCAATGCCCAACGAGGTGCCTGGTGTCGCCCAACATCTCCCAACTCATGACAAGACCAACATGCGGGAGGATGCGGGAGGACCAACAGAGAGCATCAATAGCATCAACATCACCAAGACACCTGTCAAAACGGCGTTAAGATTCTGTCTTGCCAGGCCGCTCCGAGCTGACGACGAATGCCGGGCAGACTAGTGTCGTTTCTCCATGTATTTTGACTTCCTTCACAGCTTCATGCTCCCCAACTTCGCGAGCAGACAGCGCATCTTTCAGGCCGGCCCAGCAGCACAGAGCCCTGAAGGTTCCTGGAACTGCCAAGATGTGCCAAGCTCGCGCCTGGTGCAGTGGACGGTTGAGGGTATGTGCTGCTCGGAATCTGGACTCGGCATCCTCAGGGACTGAGCCACTGTTTCTCAGCACAAGACTCGCACAGGGCATGGTCTGGGGCCCATGACAGGAGCTCTGTCCTTGGATGACTGCTTTGGCTGGGCGGCTCTCTTTCTTTCTTCCGAGGGGCCGAGGGGATCTCTTTCCTTCCTTCTTTCAGGGGTTCTCAAGGGCCGAAGCCCCTGAGAACTGCTTCCGTTTGCACATTTTGCACTCATCCTTTCTTTGCTGGTTGCGGCGCAGTCTCTGTACGCTCCGCTAGCATCTCCTCAAACTGCTGCCGTACGTTCACGAGGTCGTCGCCCTCTAGGATCGGCAAGCCCAACCTTTCAAGAATCTGCTCTTTCCCGGGCAGCTTCCATGATTCCAACGCTTGCAGACCACAGGCCCAGACAGAAAACCACGATCCCGGTATGACTCCAACTGCTCAAGTGTCAGCGCATGACCTGCCAGGTGACTTGAGATGAACAAAACAACTGCCTAAATCAGTTGGCTTGTGTCAAGCTAACAGCAGGGGAACAAGATAGCACAAGCCAAGACCATGAAAAAAGTCTTGATGCAACCAGGCGAGGAGCCTTCAGCAGCCTCCTCGCTGGACTGCTTTCTTGCAAGGGTCACCTGTGAAGAATTGAAAAGCACGATTGCTCCCTCCCACAGGAGACATGGCCAAGGTCTTGAAATCGAAAACCACTTGGGATAACACGTCACGAAATGCATACTGCTTCTGCAGCTCCAGCTCCTGCCAATATCAATGTCGGAGGTCCATCAAGCGACTGTCCACTGCCCAGCCTCCGGATGGTCCCACAGAGGCGATCTTTGCGGCAGCTGGTCAAGTGCTTGGCGTGGCCATGATAGCCTGAGCCAGGACTGTTCGGATGCGCCTGATGTGGCAAGGCGCGGAGGACAAGTGCGGGACTTTGCGTTCAGCTGCTCAAGCTGGAAGGTAAGTGCTTCCTCTCACAGGCCACAGCCATCTATAGGCAGTGGCGGTCTCATGTCAGTTTCACGCATCGTTGACTGATGAAAAAATTTCGCCTGACAGCCGAAGGTTTATGCTGGTATCATCTGAACTCCGTGTGTGTGCCGCCTTTACGGATCTTTTCGCGACACACCCCCCCCTCTCCCCGCATCCCCGCTATGCCTGGCCCGATGCGGCGCTTGTTCGGGTTCTTCTTCACTGCTCAAGTCGTCAGAGCCCCCCAGCGGCTCAGTTGGGGATGTGCCGCTTTGGTGGCGACTGCCCTTCTTAATGAAAGTCTCACACTGTCGGATCGCCTCTCGTGTTGAAAAGCACCGCTGAACCTGCACATGGGCCCACGTGCTCTTGCGCAACTTGCACGATGACTGTTGTCAAAAGGTCATGTGCCAAATGGTGTGTCCACCTCCTCTCCAGCAAGGTGAAGACGGACAGCATATGTTGAAGAGTCACAACTTTTGGCCTGGCTGCATGTGCTCAGCATGTACAGCGGGCCGCGACAGGCAACGCAATTGGCAATTCTAGCGGGTGGGCGCTTTGCATGTAGGCGGGCAGAGCGAGGCAGTGCAAATGATGGAGCCATGTGCATGATTGTGCATGCACGGCGTCCTATGCGGTGGTATGATCTACTGAATGATTTCAAGTTCCACTTAGCAACGCAGGTACGCTCGAGCGAGCTCTCGCTTAATCACTTGCACACAGAACAGGACAAGCACCGAAGGGAGCCCTTCCTTTTTCCTGCTCAGGCATGGGGTCGAGCAGAGGAAAATTGAGCATCCAAAGCAGCATCTGCTCGCCCTGTGCCGATCATGGCACGGGACCATCCGAGCTCCCCCCCGACAACTCTTCCCGAGCGAGCGCAGGCAAGAACCGAGCAGCTACAGCCCCAGGCTTTCACAGCCTTAAGGCCGCAGACCTCAGTCGCCCGCACTCAGGAGAGCACCTCAAACAGAAAGTCCCTTGGGGGCGAGCATCGAGAGATGCGATCAATCGACTTCTTCCAAAGGCATGTCCCCTGGCGCATACCGATCGGCCTGCAGATGAGGCGGCGGTGTGCACCAAGACTGGTCACGACAGAAGTGGCAAAATCGTATAAACTCGATCGCAGTGGATACAAAATGGCGTGAAGAGACCTCTTGCCCAGGGCTCCGCAGGCATACGATCAGCCGCATAGCATGGAGCGTCTCTTCCGACACAGAACAGACCTCATGAGTCCACAGTCCACACATGGCCAGAGCCGCGGCAGCGGAGCGTCATCAGCTTGCGAGCGCGCTGCAGCCATGCAGGGTTGGGTGGGTGGGCCAAAAACAGCCGATCAGCTCTCGTCTGCAGGGTCGATCGCCTTTTGCCAAAATGGCGACGGATCCGCAAACTCGAGCAGACCGAACGGCAAGTGACAACCTGCAGACCAAAGTGAGACCCAAACCCCAGACCAACCTAACCGGTGGTTTGGGAACCACTTAGCAACGCAGGTACGCTCGAGCGAGCTCTCGCTTAATCACTTGCACACAGAGCAGGACAAGCACCGAAGGGAGCCCTTCCTTTTTCCTGCTCAGGCATGGGGTCGAGCAGAGGAAAATTGAGCATCCAAAGCAGCATCTGCTCGCCCTGTGCCGATCATGGCACGGGACCATCCGAGCTCCCCCCCTACAACTCTTCCCGAGCGAGCGCAGGCAAGAACCGAGCAGCTACAGCCCCAGGCTTTCACAGCCTTAAGGCCGCAGACCTCAGTCGCCCGCACTCAGGAGAGCACCTCAAACAGAAAGTCCCAGGCCCAGAGCTTCCCGCTCAATTGGTATGAAAGTCAGGCACAAGAGCAGGAGGCCAACAGCACTGGGCCGTCTGCCAGCCTGCTTCAGTACCACGAACGAGGTTGTTTCTGGACGGCCAATCAGCCGGATTTCCATCAGTTGAAACACGATCGATAAAAACATTGGCTCGAAGTTCGAATGCAAGACCCCAAAAGACTTCGATGATCTCGACGAGGTCTTCATGGGACGAGTATCCCTTGATCAGCGCTGCTTCCACTCCTTCGGAGTCTATCAGCATAACTACGTCTCTGCCCCTCACTTGATCTGCGAACGTAGCCAGAGCCAGCACCGGGGCGATCAGCTCAACGGGAAAGATCTGAGTTGCCCTCGGGACCCACTTCCGAATGACCGCCTCGGGGATCGCCTCGGAGAACTGGATCGGCGCCGCTCCTCTCCGATCGAAGCAAACGGCCCCTATTCTCTCCGGGCCCTTTTCCTTCTTTCTGAGGTCCGGCGCGAACCCGTCAGTGAAGATGACCACGTCAGCGGGCTTTGAAGTTCGCAAAGCGATCTGCCTGGGCGGCCCTTCGCGAATCAGCTTCTTCCATTGCACGAGCGACCGCCTCAGCGGAGCCGACAATGAAGAACGCAGATCACTTCGATCTCGGGAGTATTGACGTTCGGAGAGGGGCCTCAGGAAAGCCCTTCCCACTTTGCCCCAGAGATGGCTCGCTCCGAACATCAGCTTGCCCTTGAGCTTGCCAGCCGATCCTGGGTCCAGAGAACCCGACTCCAGGATTGAATCGATCAATGAGACGAGCTCTTCTTTCCTGTCGTCTTTGATCGCTAGCTCCAGGCGGTCGAGATCATAGGTGACCCCGAGCACGACCGGCTTCGAGGTCTTCTGCAACTTCTTCTGCTCGAAGCCCGCGCCCAGCAACCAGTGGATCCCGATCGCAACCTCATGGGCGGAGTCGATCGTCTCTTCCGTCTCGAAGCCGTACTTGTCGTCATAGAAGTTGAAGGCAACGAGGCCGAAGAGCTTTTCCAGGATCTCATTGATCGCAGCCGAACGTCGATTGTAGTTGTAGACCGCCGAGACCAGCCCAAAGGAGTGGCCAACCATGACGAAGAACTTTGCCTGACCGTCGTCCGGATCTTTGAGGCAGATCACGCTGAACTTCCTGTGCTCCGGAGCAATCGGAACCTGGCGGTAAGCCTTCTTCTCGTCGAGGACCCAACCTTTTAGCTTGGCCTCCCCCGAGCGGGAACGCAGTTCGCGAAGAGCCGCGACATTCAGATCCGTTCCCGGGAGCTGGAGCTTCTCGACAATCTGCGTGATCTGATTGATGAGGTTGGAGGTAGCACTATCACAACCGCGGACTTTGTTCTTCTGCACGACTGCGAACCGCTGGGTCGGGATCCAGTCGTCTGCCCCTACACACGCAGAGACCTCTGCCTCGGTCGCGAAGGGGCCAAGGCAAGAGCCGTCTGCAACATCTTCAAGAGAGGCTTTCCAAATGGACCTTAACTCATCGGAAACTGGCACAGCCCGAACCCGCTTAAGGATCTTAGCTCGAGTTTCCCAGGCCCGAGCCAGAGCATGCTCAATGGAAATGACCGTCTGCTGCTTCTCGTAAGCCGGCCAACGACCGGATTTCGAGATAGGTCCCACGATCGGAAAACCATTCAGCAAGAGCTTCGGCAAGTCCTTGTCGAGCGAGCCCGCCCGAAGCAACAGAGTCTTGTACAGCGCGATGTGGCAAGTCGTTCCCAATTGGCAAGGCTGCCCATCGGCTCCTCCTCGAAGGAGGCGACGAAGAGCAGGATCTGGGAGCGAATCGATCATGCGCGCAGTGTGTGGCAGTAGGAGCGCGGCTTGCTGTTTCCAGAACTCTAGATCCCGACGGCGAGCGGAGTTCAGCACTGCCCCCTGCGTTGTAACCAGTTGAATGTTGTCAAGGAGCTGCTGGGAGAGCGGGGGCGGCACGGAGAACGGGTGGTCGACCTTGAGCGCCCACTCGATCGCTTCGCCGGGCTCAACCTCGCAATCTAGCAGGGGCTTCACAGCCCCCCTCTTGAGCTGGTAGCCCGCTGCCTGTGCGAGAGCGGCCCCGTGGGCCTGACGATGCATCTTCCAGTTAGCGGCCTGGCCCAGCGCGCGCTTCCGATCGGCCGCGGGCACCACCAGCGCGAAGCTGCGACAGAACTGAGGGCACGAGCGGTTGTGTATGTGACACACCGCGCGTGCTAGCGTTCGACAAAGCGGCTGGGGGTAGACCTGAGCCGCTTTAGTGGAGCGGACCCATCGGCCGTGCCAGAAAGTTGTTCCAAGCAGCTTCTTGTGCTTATGGCGTTGCGAGCAGACACGCATGCCCTGCCCACACGCTGCATGGGAGATCAGGAAGCGCGTGGGCTTCTTGGAGCTGGCACCAAACTCGCACTGATCCAAGTAGGCGAACTGCAGCGCGAACTTGGCGATGAGGTTCAGGACGGGCGGAACAAGCCACATAATGCTATCGGCCGGGTTCTCGAGAGAAACATCTCCACCGGTTTGCAGCACCGCTTCCATGAGCTCGATCGAAAGAAAGAGCAGATGGTTGCCGAGCCAGAGGTCTTCGCGATCACCTGGGTTGAGGCCATCTAGACCGAGAGGTTGGCCGGCTGAACGGAGCGGCGCTGGCCCTGGTTGTCGTGTACGAACAATGCTGAAAGTGCCGCAGGGTGTCCCGAGGTGCAGGAAGAACACGGCCCCCGCGAGCAGAAGCGTGATGAGGAAGCCAAAGAAGGCGGCGTCCAACAAGTCCTGCGGCTCTTGGACGAGACCTGCTTGTTCCACGTCGATGGGCGGGAGCACTGGCACGCCGAGCTTGGCCACCTCAGCAGTGAACCCTGCCTCGCCTGCGAAGACCTCGAGGAAGAAGGGCCCGAACGGGAGCACTTGAGCCACCGTCCTCGGCACCTGTGACCAGGAATGCCATGGGTATGTAGACTGAGAGGGATCAGCATTCAGCTGCGAACGGGCAGCGTCAACCGCTGACTCACAGAACACATCCCCATGCGGATTCCGCTGAGAAGGCGGCGGCCCCTCCGCCGGAGGAGAAAAGTTCCCGGGCGGAGGGGCCAGCACCTTTCAATGGTTTCCGTGATAGGGGTGTTTCTGACCACACTGAACGCAAGAGTGATCATCTTTGCACGAGTCACCGAAGCGGCATCCGAGGGAGCAGTTATACCAGGGGCAACGCTTGCGACCCGAGTATGTGAACGACATGATCTTTTTCCACTCCGCTTCGGGCACGCGCGTGTCCCGGGCAACGAGCTTAACTCGTCCTTCGGCACCGCGAGCTTTGCCTCCTCCTTTTCCACTGGCTTTCTCTTCTTTGAGCTGTTTGAAAAGCTGCTTTTGCTTGTCCCGTTTGGCCTTGTTGCGACGGGCGCGAGCGGCCTTCTCCTTGGGGAGGGCAGCGTCCGGTGTAGGCGAGCGCGAGCGCTTGGCCCCGCGTGCACCCACATCGAATTCCATTTGCTTGAACTTGTCCAACTCGGCGGCCGAACGGGCATCGTTCCAGAGCTGCTTGTGGTGTTCCAACACCTGCAGCAGAGCCGCTGAGAAGGTGGGGTAGTCCTTGCGCTTGTCGTTGTTGAGCTTGTAGACCTTGCGCCGAAGGAGAGTGTCTGCTGACAGCAGAACTGCTAGTCCTCGGTTTTCGTGGCGCCACTCTTCGAGCTCCGCCAAGTAGCGAAGAGGACCGGCTGCAAAGGAGAACTCGCAAATGTTGAGGAACTCGAGCGCCACAAAGAAAGCGTGAAGACGGTCCATGACCTGCGACTCCGAGGCAATGGCTGACCTGGAGTCGGTTTGGACCACGCGCAGGAGATCCTCCGATGTCTTGGCCAAACTTGCGGTTTGGACGATCGTCTCGTTCCGAGTCCGCATTTCGGCGACCTCATAGAAGGCGACCGCCCCGTGGACCATGTAGTCACGGTGGATTCTCTCCACGAACTTTCGGTGCGGCTCTTTGTGATAGGTGAGGAGCACGTCGGGGTGCGCCGCCACGAAGAGCTCGCGAAACTCCGCGTGGTCCTCCCCGGGGATCTCCGGCACCTTGCTGGGCTCCTCCTCCATGCGAGCGCGGCGAGCTGAGACATGCTCCTGGAGTGTAGACGCGGCCTTCCAAACTGCCGCGATCTGTGTGAGAGCGATCTCTCGGGCCGCCGGCGAAGCTCCGAACTTGTTCTCGTCGGGGACGATCGCCCTCATGGTGGTCTTGACAACTGCAATGGTGTCCCCGAGCATGGAGAGCGTGGCCACCGTATTGAGACCATTGTCCGCGAGGAGCAAGCACAAGGGCTCCGGCAGGCGATTCCGGCCAAAAATTTGCCGAACGGCCAGCTCCGGGATCTTGTCGTCGGGGTACAGCGTGCGATCCACCATGATGGCGAGGAGTGCACAGGAGAGACGGGAGCTGCGAGCCGTGGCAACCTGTCTCACCCAGGCGGCAAGGAAAAACCCAAAAAGGGGGAGGGTTGGGAGGGGAACCAACAGATCACACTCTTTCCTTCAAGCTAAGGTCAAACGAACACGACGTTATGCGCGCGCGCGACGTCAGGCCGAGCGCGCGCACAATGTCTACAAAACAGCTGCACATCTGGTAGCAGCGCTCCGATGTGAACACAGTCCTCAGCACGGGCACGACCGCAGGCGATCGTCTGCATGTCCTCAGCTGAGCACACATGGATCTTGTGTTCATAAGCGGAGCCTTTCTTGGGATTCTTGGTGAAGAACTCCGTCACGTTGAGCTCAAAGTCCTCCCCGTCATCGACCTCATCATCGGGGAGAACGCATTTAGGATCGTGGTGTCGTTTGTAGTCCGCCACAATGTCTTTGATCATGTTGGCGGACACTCCTGTCCGCGAGCGAGCGTACTTCTGGACGAGCGGGCCTGGGTTCTTCCAATTGGCTTGAAGGCCAATGCTAGGAGCTTGATGTCCCTGGCGGACCGCCTGATCCAGCAACGTCACTCTACATGAGTGCCATTTGAGCGAGGGGATCGCCGTCAGAAGGTCCTGGTTCAGTTGAGCATCATGACCCACGTGCCAGAGACAGTGAACGAGCCATTGCAGGGACCTGTCATAGGCTGGAGCGTGGCCAGTGAAGGCCTCCCGGGTGTTGAGCTCGGGCACCCAGAAGTCCCTCTCTAGATCCTCCGAAAAGTGAGCCTGGAACAAGGACCAACCAGCGCGCAGCCATGGAACCTGGCCAAAGGACACGTCGGGGACCAAGAACTTGGTGCCTCGACGCTTGCGTTCCGTTTTGGTCTGCCATGAAACTCCGAGGAGGCCCTCCTCGTTCATCTCGAGCTCGGTGGGCTTCACATGGACAGCATCATCGAACCTGAGAGAGGCCATGATCATGCACGTGACCCACCATAGGAAGATGCGTACTGGCACACTCCATTTATCATCGGTGATCGCTGTCTCCAAGGCCACCACGAGAGGAAGTGGAAATGCCGGCGCCTCCTTGAGCGGCCTGCCTCTCTTATCAAAGATCTGTTTCTCAGGAGCGAGGATCCGAGCATCATCCAGATCCGGGATCTCCAAGTCGATACGGAACGCGACCCACTTTATGGCTGTCCGGAGGGACGGCAGAACGGTGGGGCCGCATTCCTTGGAATCCAAGTAGAGAGCGTACTTGAGGATCCTATCCACAGAGATGCCCACTTCTGCTTCTCTGCCAGCTCTTGATCCAGAAGCGGAGTTGCAGATGAGCTCGCAGGTTGGTTGATCAATCTGGCTTTCGGCCTCGGAAGCTTAGGGGGCGGTAGAAGGGCTTTCACGGCCGACTCCCTTCGAGCGGGCACAGAAGCTGGACTAAGCTCGCCGAAGCCTCTTTTAAGAGCATGGCCAGTGCCAGTCTGCAAAGCGACCGATTCATCGAACCATGACTCCGAGGCCTTGATTAAAATCCAAAACTGCTCAAGCATCTGTGTTCTCTCTGCGAGCGCAGCATGGACCTCTGGCTGATCATCCTTGATCAGACTCAGATACTTGGCAGCAAACTCTCCTTCAGAGGCGCAGTCGAGCGCCAGCACAAAGTGAAAGCTTGCCAGCTCACATGCGAGTGCCGCTTCTCGGAACCCGTTATCAAATTTTGGCCAGGAAACAACTTTCCAAAACCAACGATCGGCACCCTTAACCTTCGGAGCCATGTCCAGGACTGCGGCAGGGCAAGGAAGGGGGAAAGCGCGAACGCGACCTTCGCGGGCGCGAACGAGCGCGGACCCCGCCCTACAAACCCGCCCGGACCCGAACCTCCAGCGCGACCCAGGGAGAGAAACTTTTCCCAGCGCGAAAAACAAAACAAGAGGGAGCCGACCGGAGACAGGGTGAGAGGAAAGAACCCCAAACCCCCAACAGTGCACACGCACACACACACACACACACACACACACACACACACACACACACACACACACACACACACACACACACACACACACACACACACACACACACACACACACACACATCACACACACATACACACACATCACACACACACACACACA